CACGATTATTTCTCACAATACAGCTGTGCCTTTAACCTCTATTCTTTTCCTTTGTTATTCTGCCATACCCTACCTTCCCTGCCTTCTTGCCCTGTCTTTTTGAAATTAAGACTGTCAGTGGCTCACAGGGTGAAATTCATTCATTCCCATGCTAAACCTGCAATTTCAATAATTCTACCCCTAGAGAGACATCAACCAATAGGCAGATGGGAATAGTAACAAGAATTTTATCCTTTTTCCTGCACACCACCAAGGAGCTAACTGATCATGAAAAGCATGTTTCAGAACCTGGTGGGCATCCCCTCTGCGGGCAGGAATGGCAATGGCTTGGCACAGCTTCCATACACTTCACTAAGTGGAAGGAGTTTGTTTGCACTGAGAAGGCTCTGTCAAAAAGAACGCAAGAGGAGCATCCTTTACCAGTGTTTGCTAATGTGTGCTATACTGCCCCCTGGGGGTCACTGGCATGATCCAAGGGAGCTGCAAAAGCAGATACCTGTACTTTATCCTGGATGATCGGCTATAATACAAAAATGTTTCATTGGCGGGGTGGAGGGGATGTGTGTAGTAATTTTTTTTTCTGAAAATGGGCTTGCTTTATTCTCTCCATGAATGAAAATAATGATGTCCTTCTTACTTACGGTAGAGAGCTGGTAAAGTGGTCACCTGCTAACAGACAAGTCCCCTTGGAACCTCCTGAGTGACCTGGAAACCCTAGATGTAGGAGGCCGAATTGACTGGGTGGCAGAGAGCAACACCCTTCCCCATCACAGGTGTCCCTGGGTTGTGCAAATGGGTAACATGTTCAGTTGCTAGCAAGCTGGAAGTTCAAGTCCACCCACAGGTGGAAGACAGACCTGGTGATCTATCTGCCCCCACAAAAAAAAAGAATCGGCCATTGAAAGCCCATTGGAGCACAGTTCTACTTGGATACCCATGGGGCCATATGTCAAAATCCACTGGGACTTGCCAAGCATCATTAGGAAAAAAAAAATCTGTTTTGATAAGGTCATCCCCGAGTTCTGAACTGGGATATTGTAAGGGCAAACTTGGCTTGTTTCAGTTTTGCTGAGAGATGGCCCCCCTAAAAGACGCTGATTTATAAACAGACTTCCCTGCCCGGAGCTGGGTTCCCATGAGTGTCTTCTTCTCTCAGTGGACACATCCCTTACTACGACCACACAAAAATGTGGGTCTTTAGAAAGGTGTCATGAACAAAGCTACAGAGATTTGGGAAAGAAAACCAACCACAAACTCTTATAGCTGAAAAGGATGTTACTGCTTTCCAAGCTCAACATTTATCATTTCACAAAAGAACAAGGGGCCCTGGTGGCATAGTGGGCTACGCACGGAGCTGCTAACTGCGTGGTCAGTAGCTCAAACCCACCAGCCACTTCTCAGGAGAAAGATGAGGCTTTCTCCTCCCATAACGATGCACAGCCTCAGAAACTGTAGGGGCAGTTCTAGCCTATTCTGCAAGGTTGCTGTGGGTCCGAATGGAATCCGTGGCAATGGAGTGAGAGAGAGATGAAGAACAGATCTCTGCTAAGTAAGCAGAGACCGAGGACTTTACCCTGTGGGTTTTCATCTTAAAGCCAAAGCTCCTTCTTGTACCCAAGTGGTTCACAAATTATACAAGCATCAAGAAAAACCCAGAGAGGGGGGTGGAGAGTGTTAAAAGCAAGTTGCTAGGCCCCACTGCTAGGGAGTCTCATTCCACAGGTCTGCCTTTTAACAAAAGAGCCATAGTGGTTGCTAACGGCAAGGTTAGCTGATGGTTCAAAGCCACCAGTAAGAGAAACATGTGCCTGTCTGCCCACACAAGGGTTTCAGCCTTGGAAACCCTCAGGGGCAGTTCTACTCTGATCTGCAGGGTCACAGGAATTGGAATCTTCTTGATGGCATTGAGTTTGGTTTTGCTGGCTTGACATTTCTAACAAGTTTCCTTCCCAGGTGCTGCCAAGGCTGCAGCTAACTGGGGAGACAACACTTTGAGAAACTTTGCTGTTCACCGAGAGAACAGCAGCATGACTCTTTTATTTTATTTATTTATGTTGTTAAATATGCACCATTTCTTTTTTAAGATCCTTTTATTGGGGGCGCTTACTTACAACAATCCATACATCAATTAGCATGGCTCTTTTTTAAAAATCATTTTCTTAAGGGCTCATACAACTCTTACCACAATCTATACATATATCACTTTGTTTGTAAAGCACATTTGTACATTCATTGCCCTCATCATCCTCAAAACATTTACTTTCCACTTAAGCCCCTGGCATCAGCTCATTTTCCCCCCTCCCTCTCCACTTCCCCCTCCCTCATGAAGCCTTGACAATTTATAAATTATTATTTTGTCATATCTTACACTGTAGCATGACTCTTTTATACCCACGTTCAAAACCCAACTATTAACAGTCTCCTGGCAAAGACCATGCCTTCGAGTTTAAGCAGCAACTGAGGAACTAGTTGAGAGGCAGAGATTTCTTTTGGGACTTCCTGGTTGACCCCTCAGGGTTATGTGGATTCACTTTGATGTTTAATCTGCTACCTTAATGACAGCTTTATGTATATCCTCTGATAAAACATTTCTTGAGCATTAAGTCAAATTGTCATTTTCCTGCTAATCCATCCCATTGGGATTCCCACAAGAATCATGCAGAAGAAGATAATACTTAGCCCGAAGGATGAGGCAGCTGATCCTGATGTTTCCTATTAGTCATGCTACACACGCTACACAAGTCACGACAGAAGCTATGGGGCTCAAATTGGCCAGCTGCTAAGGTGGCCAAGATTATGTTAGAGAGGTAAGCCAAAGATGCATGAAACAGCTTGCCTTCAAAATAAATAAAAATTATTTTTAATGTTAAATGGTTCAGGAAAAATTATGCACATGGTGAAATGTTAACAAAGGGATTGACTAAAAGATATATGGGACTTCTTGACTGTTTTCTTACAACTTTTCAATAAATCTGAAATTATGTCCAAATTAACATCACCTGTAAAGCAACTTGTTACTTTTAGAATAAAAAGATTTAATTCCATCTATACTCTTAAGAATATGCATGAAGGTGAACGGATTCATTGGATGGTGTAAGATATGGCAAAAATAATAATATAAGAAGGGTTCCTGGGGGGCAGGGTGGTGGAGAGAGGGGATAAAGAGGAGCTGATATCAAAGAATTCAAGAAGAAAGAAAATGTTTTGAAACTGATGGTGGTAGCAATTACAAAATCATGCTTGCTCTAGCTGAAATTATGGATTGTTATAATATCTATAAGAGTTCCCAATGCTTAATTTTAAAAATTGCTAAAAGAGATTAAAAAGAATGTGGCATGAGTTTTTTATGTTAATAACATTTTAAATATTGGTACACTAGGGTTAGCACCTAAAAGAAGCATTTGATAAATTAGTGCAGAATAGTAAAAGAGATATGGGAGTTATCAAAGACACAGCCCAAGCAAATATAAACTGGGGGAACAACTCCGACGAGCTCTCACAAAGCTTTCTGCTTTTCTACCATGACGCAATGAGTTGTGGCTTGGGCATTTGTTTGTAGCTGTGTAATCAAGAATATTTTTGCACAGCTCAACCAAAGAGCCGCCACAATGTCACATTAAGCTTCTTCCAGAGCGTTCATAAAGGCCTCATAATTCATGAGTGCTAGCAAGCTACTAGCAGAGGAGTTTGCCTCGTTCCCATCCCACTGCAGCAGGGCTCACCGGGCTTTGGAAGAAACTCCCTCCTTGTTGCACTAGATCAAAGTTCACTAGTGTTTCTTTCTCTTCTCATCTCCTTGGCTATCAGCTTCTCGTCGGAGCAAAATTTGCTGAGAATTGCAGTGTTATACTCGCACTAGCTTCACTAGCTTGAAGGAGCTACTTGTTAGTATCTCTTCCTAACTATAAGCTCAGTTATGTCCAAATAGAAGCTTAGAAAGGGCCGTGGTTCAATGATCTGTACCTCAGAAATTGTTAACAGCTGGAAAAAAGAAAAAAAAAACATTTGGGGGAGACAGAGGGTCACTGGCTGTTAACTACTTACCAACATTCCACTGATTCTGGCTCTCAGCAAGGTGGAGAACCACATTTTTTTTTAATGTACATATATTTATTTATTTTTGACCTTTTTTGTCGTTTTATTAGGGGCTCATACAACTCCTATCACAATCCATACATACATCAATTGTGTAAAGCACATTTGTACATTCATTGCCCCCATCATTCTCAAAACATTTACTCTCCACCTAAGCCCCTGGCATCAGCTCCTCATTTTTCCCCTCCCTCCCTGCTCCCCCCTCCCTCATGAGCCCTTGATAATTTATAAATTATTATTTTGTCATTTCTTGCCCTGTCCGAGAACCACATCTTATCTCGTACCAGACGTCAGCACAAATCAGGGTTGGCACATTCGGGCTAGATAATGTTTTGTTTCAGGAGGCAGGCAGGCCTCCTAGTGGTACCCGCTAGATGCCAACGGCAACTTCCTTTTCCTAGTGTGACAACCAATAATGTCTCCAGACGTTACCAAAGTCACCCCTGGTTGGGAACCATAGGCACAAACCAGTACAGTGATATAATTATCCCTCAAGCCAGCTCCAAAATGATGAAGTTGAAAAGATCAGGGGCATGTGTGTATGGATTGGGATAACAGTTGTATGAGCCCCTAATAAAATGTTAAAAAAGAAAAAGAAAAGATCAGGGCCTTTCAGATGAAGCCAGTTGTATGAAGGTGCATCCACTGTCCGGGAGACTTCTACTGACAGCAGCCAATGTGGAAGGGTTTGTGCCTGTTTTACAAAGACAACTTGTTTGTGGCATGGGTAACATTTATTTTGTGCCTGGCACTAAGTACTTTACATATGCAAATGATTTCATCTCTGTAGTACTCCTGTGAGGCAAGTACTATTACTCCTATTTACAGGCAGTGGAATCAAGTCACCCCAAAAGGGACATCACTTGCTCAGTGACAGAACTAGGAGTCATCCCCAGACATTCGGACTCCAGAATCCTTATCGTTGATTCTAGGCAGCAGATGTCATCTGAGCTGGTTTACCCACCCGGGCCCATCTATTCATTTGAGGTTTGCTTTTTCTATTGTTTCCCCAATTCAGCCAGGAGTATTTAGGAATTGCGGATTTCTCAGGTCCCCTGCTTAAGGGGAGGATAGTCTTTTACCCAGGAGCTTGACTATGTTTCCCACACAGTCCTGTTCCACCAGGAAACAAATCTGTCACCAAGAATGAAAATGCCAGAACCCAGAGAACTCGGGATTTCAAAAGGAACAAAGGGAAGGAGGATTTTCTGATATTGCTTACATTTGATTGTAACGTGTGCCAGTGCATGAATACAATATGCGGTTTTCCTGAGGTAGATTCGTGTGAATCTAGGGGGTATCAAACACAAAGGGCAGGATCATACAAATAGGCCCTTCAGAAAATAAACTCTACGTTCTGCATATTTTTATATAAATAAGACCTAATTCATTTTTTAGGGAGGGTGCAATTTGTGACGGAAAGAGGAGGTCCTTGAGCCAGCAGCATCGGCAGCACCTAGGAACATGTTCCAAGGGAGCATCTCGGCCTCGGTCCAGAGCCGCTGAACCAGAAACTCTGGGGACAGACCCCCAGCAAGCCATGTTTCAACAAAGCCGGCTGGCGATGGTGAGAACCACTATCTCAAGGTAATATTTCCCTTCAAACATCAGAAGAAAACATAATTCCTAGTCCAATGCCCTGGATCTTATTGGCTGTCGATGAAAAGTAGGTGTTAGGATAGAAGAAAACAATAATGCACTGGTCCCTTCTGAATGCAATTCATGTAACAAATCCAGGTTCTGGCTTCTTTTCATAGGCAGGCCAATGTTATACAGGGTGGTTAATTTCTGGTGCGTCCTAGATGAGTGTGAACAGGGCAAACTGCAAAACACTGATAAGGCTTCTCGGAAAGATGTGGTTTTGTTGACATGCGTTTGAACAGCTCCGTTCACTATTGAAGGCGTGCCCAGCTGCGGGGCCCGGGGGACTTTGGCAGGAGCTATGCTTCCAGCACATAATCCACAGCCTGCATTCTGGTGTAACGGAGAGAAACGAAATGCCCGTCAGGACAGAATGACACTTGGCTTTCAAGGGCTGGGGTTAGGGTTAGAGACTTTCAGAGAATAAGTGGAGCAAACAAACAAAAATCAGAATTGATGACTTGATCACTTCTTTCACCTCCATCCTCGCTCTGAGATGTGGAGCTTGCTAATTTCCACCACTGCTAATTATTAAAACTCCCAGCTTCCCGATGGGTGCCTTCACTCCTGGTACTGTAGACGCGCTCATTGGGAGGCCAAGGCACTGCTGTCTGAGCGTCCGTCTCTGCTCCCCTCCTTGGCGACATCACTAGACCAATTTCTCACCTTGTAACGGCTCCTTCACGTAAGCATGCAAACACAGTTTTTTCATATATATATATAATTTCTTCACCCCATATCCTAATCTAATTTTTGCTCCTCTAACAAAAAGCCCTTTAAAAGAATTATTGACAAACTGTCTCCAATTGACTTTATTCCATGTAAGAAAGATTTCATGGCCACCACTTCGCTAATGGACTTCCTCAGGTTACCTACGCTTAGCATAGGCCAAGTCTCGGTGCTAATCTTTTGTGAGTTAACAACTTCATTTATTAGTTGATTACCCCCTCCTCTTCCAAATGTTTTCTTTTTGCACATCATCTTTGACTAATCCTTGGGAATTCAAAGATGAATATGGAACCCCTCCTCTCAACTGTACTGGAGATACTTGGACAATGTGGTCAAGGGCCTCTAGACTTCAGATTCTCACATACCTTAGTAATCAGGGGTCCTCAAACTTTTTTAACGGGGCCAGTTCACTGGCCCTAAGACCGTTGGAGGGCCGGACTATAGTTTAAAAAAAAACTATGAACAAATTCCTATGCAGACTGGACGAGTCGACTACTAAGCAGGACAGGCGGCAGCGGAAAACACCCGGCGGGCCGGGTAATTGTCCTCGGCGGGCCCCATGTGGCCTGCGGGCTGTAGTTTGAGGACCCCTGCATGTAGCAGTACTCCCCAAACGTTTCATGTCAGGCACACAGGAAAATGATAACATTTGCACAGTACGCTGGGATGACTAAACAAGACTGCTTCCAATAGAGGCTGACCCAACCAGCCAGCTCCAAGACTTGACGGGCACAGTGCATGCAGTAAATAGCACCATTCTGTGACTTCATGGAAAGCAATCCCATTCTATCCTATAATGAAAATACAATCATGTTATGCCTTCAGTAATAGATATTTCTATTACACAAATTTGGTCCAAATTCTTACAACCTTTTTCTAGAATTTGTTCAGCTTAAAAACTATTGCATATCTTTTATAAGTGCCCATAGCACCTAGCGCAGTGGTGAACAAAGATGTTCTAAAACAGTAATGTCACATTAAACATCTGCAGCAGATATGATTGTCGCAGAGATATTGGGAAGCTATTACTTTCTTGCCCTAGGTCGCTGAACAGCTTTCCTACTTCACTAATTGAAAGAAGTTAGATTTATCTTACTTTAAAACATTTACTAAAAAACTCAAGTCCAGAACTCCCTTACGCACATGCTCCCTCCCTATACTTCCATTCTTGCTGATATCTAGTCCAGCTTAACCCATGCATTTTAAATCTACTTTTTCTTGATTTGTCCTTGAAAGAGGAGGAGGAGGTGAAAAGAAGTAGATCATCAATACTTTCTGCAATGGTAACATGAGTGGGTTTATAATGATGGCTGTTATCATTGGATTGTAAATGCTATGGAAGTTTTCCACTCTGGTTGCTATAGAAACCATAAAATGTAGCTGGGAGAGATCCAGGCATAAAGCAAGGTACTTCAAAAAGCAAATGCTAATATCATTTGATGCGAAGCCCCGGAAATGATCAAGGCTGTTCGACCAGGAGAGGAATGTATTTGGTACAGGGTTACCCGGGTTGTTATTTTTAATGGCCTCTTTTTGTCTTTTTCTTTGTGCTTAATTTATGATGTATTGGCTATGAGAACACAGAGTCTCCCAAGGTTGAGAACATGGGGGCTTTTAGTGCTGTGAGATTCTCTGTCTTCAGCTCAGTAGTGGAAAATGAGCCGAGATGATTACTGCTCTCGAACTAATGCTGGGGTGGAAAATCAGGACTTTTTAAAGTAAGAATAGCCAGCTCGGAAGGATGCCCGCTGCTAGATGCCCACCATCCATTTCAACTCATGGACCCCTTACTCCAGTGGGGTTTTCTGGGAGGCGATCGCCAGCCCTGCCTTTCCAGGGGCCCCTGGGTGAGCTTGAACTTCTGACCTTTCACTACACAGCTGAGCACACCAATTTTTGGCACTACCCAGGGCCTCCCTACCCCTAGAATACCTCCTTTGGCATTTGCCTCCCCAAGCAAAAAAAAGTATTCATAGTTATTCTTCCTATACAATTTTTTACTCTGAAATCTTCGGATGAGTCCATTAGTTTCTTGTGGAAGACTCTCAGAACTGAACCTCGGTGTTCACACTGCCCTGTCTTCCACAAAGAGCCACGGCGCCCTCTCCTAGCCTATCTGCTTTTAGCCCAGGAACGAGCTGTCCGCTCCTTAGCAGCTCCTGCTTTTGCTGTTGTTGGGGGCCATCTGGTGGACTCTGACTGCTGGGGACCCAGAGGGAAGGGCAGAACTGCCCCCCTTGAGGGTTTTCTCGGCTGTACTCTTGATGGGAGCATGTTGCCAGGTCTTCCTCCTGTGGAGCCGCTGGGAGGCAACCAAGCACTTAGGGATCCAAATATATCATTCCCTAAAACAATATGGCTGACAAAAGGAGGAAAGAACAGAGAGAAGTAAAGCTGGCAAGGAAATGCGTATTCATTTCAAACCGGAGAAATGAAAATAATTCAAATGTCAGAGGGAAATCCAGACAGTGGTACACCCTAGGGTTTTCAAGGGCTGGTTTACTAGAAGTTGAAAAATTCCAATTTCAATAGCACTGCGGCAAACTCTCTCCATTGCCACCGAGTCAATTCCAATTCATAGCAACCCCACAGGACAGAGTAGAACTGCCCCCATAGGACCCTGGCAGGTAAGCATTGGACCTTTAACCTCAAGGTGGGCAGTTCAAACCCACCAGCCATTCCATGGGAGAAAGGGGAGGCTCTGTGCTCCCATAAAGATTTCCAGTCTAGGAAGTGCTTGCTAGGAGTGTGAATGGACTCTTTAGCAGAGGGGTTGGGCGCTCTTTGGAAGCAGACGCCCATGTTTCTCCTGCAGACCAGCTTGTGCATGCCAACCACCAACCTCTCTATCTGAGGAGCAGCCACGTGCAGCACTCAGGAGCCACCAGGGGTAAGTTCTAGTTCTTCCTTGCTTAGAAAGTGCAAAAATCATCCACAGCCTTCCTACTTACGGTGTGGTGCGTGGGCCAGCAGCAGTAGGAGCACTTCAGTCCCTGGGTTATGAATGTCCGATTCAGGGACCACTCCTATTTGCCCTTTACTGTGACACAAATTTGCCCTCGCTTTGAAAGCCTTGAACAAACCCCTATCCACAGCAAATCCTTCATCGCGGTCACCTGCACTTGCCAATGCCAGTGTTGAAGCCTAAGAACGGTTTGCACCTGCTCCAACCCACACGTTCAACTTAGACTGACTCCGACTTAGAGACACCCTCAGGGGCAGATCTTGTTGGCAACCAGGGACGGCCTGTACTTCGAAATCTGGGGGTGCTAGCCCTGCCACTCCACAACTTGACAGTATGTCTGGCATTTCACATACACATTACATTTGAGACACGCCACTTCTACCATGAAGGAGCTCCGTGGGGTAGTGGGTTATGCTGCTAACCACAAGGTCGGCAGTTTGAAACCACCAGCCACTCTGCAGGAGAAAGATGGAGGCGTCCTACTCCTGTAAAGCATGACAGCCTCAGAAGCCCACAGGGAACAGCTCGACCCTGCACTGTAGGGTCGCTAGGAGTCAGAAAGACTCACTGGCCGGGCGCTTTTCAGTTTAATTCTAAACTGCCTTGCGAATGCACTCCCAGGTGGAATCAACACTGCCCATCGAAGTGCCTGGAATGGTCACTGGCTTTCCACCTGGCTGCACATTAGAGTCACCTGAGAGATTTAAAAGCAAACGGATACCCCCCACCCACACCACCTCTGTGTTGAGGGTGGAGAGCTAGACATCAGTATTTTTCAAAAGCTCCCTGGTGGTTCTAGTGAGAATGAGTGAGATTCGTTACCTAGATCAGCCCTTCATTTAAAAATTACTAAATCATGAAACTGACATTTGGGTAGGACTTGTGGTTTTCCTATGTTACTTCATTTGGGATCTTCAAGCAACCCCTATAAGATGGATGCCCCCCAACCAAACTCACTGCCATCCCAGTGATGCCAACTCATAGCCACCCTAGAGGACAGGGCAGAATTGACCCTGTGAGTTTCCAAGAATGTAACTCTTTACAGGAGAAGAAAGCCTTGTCTCTCTCCTCGGAGCAGCCGGTGGTTTTGAACCGTGGATCTTGCAGTTAGCAGCCCAACGAGTAACCGCTCCACCCCAGGGCTCCTTTTATAAGATAGCTGGAACAGGAAAAACAATGCCTACCTAACAGAAGAGTACACTGAGGATTCAAAGTTAGACTAGAGCTGTTTCCACTACATTTACTTCCAAAGCAGCTAGCTGCTATTTCCCTAGCTGAGAACAGAGGAAAGAACTGGGGGCTGAAATCAACATAATGTCCAATATGCTGCGTTGTGAGTCCATAGGCTACATGACCAAGTCCAACCCGCTGCTTCCATATGTGTGGAAAAAGCAGTCCAGAGAATGTCTGACTTAACTGACAAGGTTTCAGCTGAAATGACATCTCGGAACTCCATATTCCTGAGAAGGTAAACAAGGCTTGACTTGTGCTTACTTACCAATCTGTGGTGAACACATGTAACCTGTTTACCGCATATTAGTAAGTAAGTACAAATAAGACCCTGTTTACCTTGCTTACTGGGTACTCCATCCCTGGCAAGGACTGTACATTTGGAAAGAGACTTTGGTTCTATAGGAAGGTGTTGAGAGGTGAGAGAGAGACAGATGTCAGCAAAACCTAGAGGCAGAATCTTTGATGTGGTGATAAGAGCAAGTAAGCCCCTCCTGACCTTGCTTGTAATACGACACTGCTCTTAATTGAATATATGTATATAATATATATAATTGAATATATATATAAAATTGAATATATATATATATAAAATTGAATATATATATATATATATATATATCAGTTGCCCTCGAGTCAGCTGGGACTCCTGGTGGCCCCATGTGTGCCAGAGTGGAACTGTAGTCCCTAGGGTTTTCCATGGCTGACTTTTCAAAAGTAAGTTTACCAGGCCTTGCTTCCAAGGTGTCTCAGGGTACACTTGAACCTCCGACCTTGCGGGTAGCAGCTGAGCATGTGAACTGTTTTGTCCCACTCGTATGCTTCCTGCTGAACTGCATTGCTCAAGTGGGCGCCGGGGATTCCATAGGCTGTGAACAGATGCTCCTCTGGAAAGGGTTGGCTAAGCGAAGCCATCTCACAGCTTGTCCGGACCACTCTCAGCCTTCCCTGAACTCATGTGGCCTGCGGCTCTCTGCGAGCTCTCCCTGAGCATCGTCTTCTCCCAGCTCCTGTCACCGTAACAGACCCAGGGTTCAACGGAGCATCTTGAATGAGTCCCCCTCTAAAGAGCAGACTTTTGAGAAAGACTGTCACCCTCGGCTCTCTTCCAACTTACTTCCCTGCTGTAACAGGGAGATTTGTTAGCCCCCTACAGCTGAGGACACTACATGGTACCAGCCATAGAAACTGCCCGTGGAGGCGCCCTGCTGGTGTAGAAGTGATGAGGTGGGCAGCAATCTGCAGGGTCTGCACTAGGCGCTCCGAGAGAGAAAGACAGGCTTTCTAGGCCTGTACGAGAGTCACAGGCTCAGAAACGCAAGGAGCAGCTCCACCCTGTCCTCCAGGACGGCCAGGAGTCAGAGCAGACTCCGCGCCGTGAGGGCGTGGCAGCTTCTCCTCACCACCTCATTCCTCTTTGTTACTTCACAGTTCACACCTCATCCCCATTCCTGTAATGGAAGGAATGGTTTTTCTTTTATGTTCTTCTTGCCGGACTGCTACTTCATAATGAACATGCTCATCATGACCCTTTTCCTCGGACCAGAAACGGTGTACACACAACGTGGAAGGTCTCGTTTTATCCTTGGAACAGAGGCGTACAGAGGTTAGGCAGCCTATCCAAAGTCGGCTGAACGCCAGACTCCACTATACAATTACACCATGTTGCCAACGTAGATGATTTTCTGTTCCATTCATCAACTTGTTTATCAAAAGCTTTGTTGTTAAGTGCCATCGAGTCTGTTTCTACTCCGTGACCCTGTGCACAACAGAAGGAAAATCTGCCTGGTCCTGCGCCGCCCTTGCAATTACTGTCCTTATGCTTCAGCTTATTGTTGCCGTCCTTAAAGAGACCAAGGTTCCTGGTAGGAGCCACACGACTATGGCCTTTAGTCACTGGGAACTGCCCCTGCCCCCTTGGTTTAATATTAAACTCAATAATAGACAGGGTTATGAGGGGAACGCTAACACCAGTGAAATGTGCACACCGTAGACTAAGCATTTGAGATGCTTAAAATGCCAACATTTACCCACAGACACAGTTCAGAGGAAAGGAGTTAGCAAAAGGAGGAGGACCAGATAGGAAACCTGGGGAGGAAGTGGGATAAGCAGTGTTATGTCAGAGGGATTGCTTTGAAGGAAACGGAACAAAGGGGTTTGAATTGTTAGATGTAAAACTGGTGACATGCTCTGTAAACCTACACCCGGTTCACAATAGAAAGGTTTTACTTTAAATGTGTGCCCATTAGTACAAGCAATGCCTAAGCAATTCACAAAATCATAAACATCTGGTGATCTTAAGTCCCACCATCTTACTTTCTTTTTTTCAAACGAGGAGATAGGCCCAGAAACTGTAAGTCTCCAGAATCTGCATCTGCAGTCACAGAAGTATAAAAGCAAAAAGCCCAAACTCAGTGCCCTTGAGTCCGCTCCGACTCGTGGTGACCCTGCAGGACAGAGTAGAACTGCCTCCTGTGGGTTTCCAAGGTGGAGCGCTTTATGAGAGCACCCAGCCTCAACTTTCTCCAGTGAGACAGGTGGTGGGTTCAAACTGCTGACCACAAGGTTCAAACTGCTGACCACAAGGTCAGCAGCCCAACGTGTAACCCACTACGCCACCAGGGTTCCTTTTCCTGGAAGTATAGGCATGCCTAAGTTCCCAGAATCTTTTGGAAATGGCTCCAATTGCTCCAAACCCTCTACTTAAATCAAGTGGGGGAAAAAAATAGATCCTTCTAAAGCATCATGTATTTCCAACTCGAAGAACGGATGAGAAAGTTTCACCAAGCAGCTGGTTGAGTTACTTCTCTCTAGACAAATGCCCCCATTACCCTGAATGCTGGTCCTCAGCATAGAGGGAGAGTCTGAGGGAAGCCAACCCAGTCCTCCCACAAAGTAGACTGCTCCAGTTCTCTGGAGGCCTCTCCTGCGCTTCTGCGTCACCAACCTCACCCCTCATACCTCCTTGCTCTTGCTGTCCCAGCTGTGCTGTGTTTCTCCCCAATCCTCTTCTTTTGCCTCAGCTTACAAACAATGGGCTTCAATGGGCCTGACTCACTTTCCCCAACCCACCAACTCCTTTTTGCCTGGTCAATGCCCATGCATCCTTCAAGCCTTGCCTCAGACATCCCTGCCTCAGAAAGTGTATCCCCCACTCCCACTAAAGTAGGTTGCCTGTCCTTTCTACGTCCAACAGTATCCTGTACTGATAGCTGCTATGTTGTACCTGCTATGTGTCTTGAAAGCAGTGGCCAATTCTTATTCCCCAGGTAGCCTCAAGGTTAGGGTCGGTCTTGTGATAGATAGTATCTTTGGCACCTGGGGCAAATTTCAGACCCACCTGGAGTCTGTGCATAAGGACAAAGAGGTGGCCCAGTGAGTGCAGACTCACAGCAGAGTCCCCATAACCCTTGATATGGAGCCTGGCACCAACAGCCCAGACAAAAGGCATCCTTTTTCATACCCAAGCCCGGTGCACAGCAGGCCAGGTGCTCTTCGCCAGGAGTTAAAATCCAGGATTTCTGCTCTTCAGCGCATTACAGTCTGAAGTAAATTAATGCCGCCTGCTCCCGGCTCTCCCACAAGCCTACTCCTTCCTTTCCCTCTCATTTCCTGGCCTCTTTTTTAAAATAACCTATAGGAACCACATGAGGGCAGCAGCTCCTTGTACAACAGGGGCAGTGAGGGCTAGCGTCAAAAACCAAAAGGAAGGAGGTTATCATACAATTGTTATCAAAACATTCGAGACTAAATAAACAAAACCAAAACCTTTAGAGACTGAAGCATTTTGCTACAATATGCGTGAAGCCACCCTTACTAACGGTCAGTTAAAAGCTTGTAATCAATGGGTGGAAAGAAAAGGATGCTAGTGGATGAAGCTAATGTTGTGTGTCCTTCTCCCAGGTGCTGGCTGAGAAGAGGTGACGTATAAGAACCTAAGGCTGACTCCTCATGTAAATTCTGACACCAGCATGGAAGGGGAATCCTACCACAATGCCACTACTGTCAATGGCACCCCAGTCGATCACCAGCCCTTGGCACGCCACGGACTGTGGGGAGTCATCACCATCGCAGCTGTAACTGCTGTGGTCAGCCTGATCACCATCGTGGGCAACGTCTTAGTCATGATCTCCTTCCAAGTCAACAGTCAGCTCAAGACGGTGAACAACTATTACTTGCTCAGCTTAGCCTGCGCGGATCTCATCATTGGGATCTTCTCCATGAACCTCTATACGACCTACATCCTGATGGGACGCTGGGCCCTGGGGAGTTTGGCTTGTGACCTATGGCTTGCACTGGACTACGTGGCCAGCAACGCTTCTGTTATGAACCTTCTTGTGATCAGTTTTGACCGCTACTTTTCCATCACAAGACCCTTGACGTACCGGGCCAAGCGTACCCCAAAGAGGGCTGGCATGATGATTGGCTTGGCCTGGCTGATTTCCTTCATCCTCTGGGCCCCGGCGATCCTCTGCTGGCAATACTTGGTGGGGGAGCGGACGGTGCCACCAGATGAGTGTCAGATCCAATTCCTCTCTGAGCCCACCATCACTTTTGGTACTGCCATTGCTGCCTTCTACATCCCTGTTTCGGTCATGACCATCCTCTACTGCCGCATCTACCGGGAAACGGAGAAGCGAACTAAAGACCTGGCTGACCTCCAGGGCTCGGACTCCGTGGCAGGAACCAAGAAGAGAACGCCCCCTCACGGGGCCTTGCTAAGGTCCTGCTTTAGCTGCCCTCGGCCCGCATCGGCCCAGAGGGAACAGGACCAGGCCTCCTGGTCCTCTTCACGCAGAAGCACCTCCACCATTGGGAAGTCATGCCAACCCACAGGCCCAAGCACTGACTGGGCCAAGGCTGAGCAGCTGACAACCTGTAGCAGCTACCCCTCCTCAGAAGATGAGGATAAGCCCACCACTGACCCTGTCTTCCAAGTGGTCTACAAGAATCAAGCCAAGGAAAGCCCAAAGGAAGAATTCAGTGCTGAGGAGACCAGGGAAACTTTTGTGAAAGCCCACAAGGAAAAAAATGACTATGACGCCCCAAAATACTTCTTGTCCCCAGCTGCTGCTCATACACCCAAGAGTCAGAAATGCATGGCCTATAAGTTCAGATTGGTGGTAAAAGCCGATGGGACTCAGGAGACCAACAATGGCTGTCGCAAGGTGAAAATCATGCCCTGCTCCTTCCCAGTGTCCAAGGACTCTTCACCAAAAAGCCTTGACCACAACCTCAGCCATCAAATGACCAAGCGAAAGAGGATGGTCCTTGTCAAAGAGAGGAAGGCCGCGCAGACCTTGAGTGCCATCCTGCTAGCCTTCATCATCACCTGGACCCCCTATAATATCATGGTCTTGGTCTCCACCTTCTGTGACAAGTGTGTTCCAGTGAGCTTGTGGCATTTGGGTTACTGGTTATGCTATGTCAATAGCACTGTCAACCCCATCTGCTATGCCCTCTGCAACAGAACCTTCAGGAAGACCTTTAAGATGCTGCTTCTCTGTCGATGGAAAAAGAAGAAAGTGGAAGAGAAATTGTACTGGCAGGGGAATAGCAAGCTGCCATGAAAGGTCAACTCCCCAAAAGGATGACCGCTGTCAACTTCCTCTGAAGATGGGTGAGCTGATCCTGGTGTGTTTCTTTTCAAAAGGACTCCTGTCATTGCGAGTCCCTGATGATTTGAGGTCTATCACAGCTGGTGTCACTGCTGCACACTGAATGCTTCTTCTCTGGCACCAAGGTCAACTGCCGCTGGTGTTTGCCAATGAATAAAAAAAGAGACTCCTGGCTCTTCATAAGGGGAGGCACACTGGTTATGATAACTATGTACTTAGGGAACCTTTGTCTGACTTTCTGTGGAGAAGAGCCACAGATGCCATTAGAAACCTTCCCCTGTGGAGAGACCGCCAGGGTTTTCTGCAGTCTGTCTATGAAGTTGTCTTGTATCTGTGAGAACCAGGAGAATGAATGCTGGTGTCATCTGCTAAGTAGAATGATACTCTAAGAAAATATTTCTTACCAACTGGTCAATATTTATTACACAGGTCTTATAATGGTTTCTCCTGTGATATGTTTCCTTGCCCCTACATCTGACTGAAGCTCTTGCTCTGTTGTTTCATAAATGATACCAATTTCTGGGGCCCACTGAGACGATGCTGAACCCAATGGGACCATCTGTACTCAGAACCCTGGATCTAGGAGGGCACTGAAGCCCAATCATGCCCAGTCCTTTTTAGAGGCCTCTATTGTGCTAAGACATACGATCAAATCTCAATCGGTTATTTTAGTTTTTACCATCAGCATCTTTTTCCTTTTATCTAAACAAATATCACTTACTATATTTTGAGCTCATGTGTGCTCGATTTTTCATTCTGGCTTAGGAAGATTAGTTATATAACTTCTGTGGGTAAAGATGGTCGTCAGAGTAGGTTTTTTTTTTTTTTTTTTTTTTTAAGGCAAAATATCAGGGCCGAGGGGAAATTATTTCATTCCATACTTTTGAATTTCCAGGACTTTTCTCAGACTTTTGCTCCAGCCAGACATGCTATTTGGATGGGAGGAGGTCCAAACACATGTATTGGTCCTTCAACACAAGGCCCGGAAAAGACATACCTTTTTTTTCCCTCTCCAAATTCACAGTAAAATGAGAAAACCACAGTAGAGTTGAGGGTCCAGTGAATCTGGCTATGGTCATTTAAAATTAAAGTTGTAAAATGCTTTGTTTCTCCTAAAAAAGAAAGAAAAGAAAACCTAGTATTTGAAAGAGTAAATAATGTAGATCAGAATAATGCATAAAAATAAAAATTATCAGCATGCATTAGGGCACTGAGATGATTAAAAACCAAATATAATAATTTTTTTTAAAAGATGTATGTGCACATGTAATTTTATTTATTTATGTCACTGTTGAGCCAAATGGAATTGAAATCTCTGTACAAAGGCCAAAGACAGCAACCAAATTTCTGTAGAGTCAATTCTGAGTCATGATGACCGGGGTATACAGACTGAGTTTAAGATAGTTTTTGATAATTCTGAAAGTAAACCAATGTGCAAGAAATTGAAACTAAAAACCATGCACATCATTAATAAAAGATCCATAACAAACAAGAGTGTAGTGCACACCAGGATTTTAAAGATAAAGCAATACATCATCAGCTGTCTTTAAAATCTCAAGATTTCATGTTCCTTCATTTAGGCCAGTTCTTTTACAGCGAGTTGGTCAAGGAGCTGTTAAGACGGTTGACTTTGTTTCTCTGAGTGAGAGCTATGTTCCTCCACACAGGAGAGCTTCTGCCCACCACTGAGGAGGAGAATCCGATCCTTTCCTGAACTCTCAAGGCAGCTTCAGGGCAAACTGAAGCAGGACAGAGCTCGCCAACCCTGCTCCCCGGCCCTGTAAGGACTTGAGGTTGAGCTGGAACACCTGAGAGGTGATGTAACTTTATGAAGGGCAAGTTGACACCTGCTAGGGATTTAGAGGCGAATATTCATTCACTAGCTCAGTTCTCCACCAAAGAGGCTCCCAAGCCCAGTGATGCCAACAGGGTGTGCCTTCAAGCACAAACCCGCTCCACCAGCTCTGGAGGAACAGTTGATTCCTTCAAGTTCAAGCTTTGATTTCTGTTGGGGGTGGGGAGGGGAAACCCTCCACGAGACTATCACTTTAAGCCCATATTGGACAGTCACTGTCCATAGTAGACAGAGGAACAAGTTAATTAGGGGGAGGGGGAGTGCAGAATTGTGGGGGCTGCTAAGGATGCACTTTGCACATGCCACAACTGACTAGGACTTTTGTGACATTAAGAGGACTAGGCTTCCTACTTTAGCCTTGGCTTTGGGACACAGCCAGTTTTGCAGACTTCCTGTGTTCTTTAGCACAAGCAAACAATGCCCCACACTACTAGGGAAAATGGTATCTCTCTTGAATGGAGCCTCTTGGGGGGGGTCCTCAAACTCAACCAATCCAACTGTAAACTACAGGGACCTGGTGGGTGGGCGTGGGGTGTCGACTGACTTCAGATCTTAAGTCTTTATGCCCTCAGCTTCCCAAGCTTGTGTTCATGTTAAACTATGTAGAACTCAAGTTAGTAACCTATTGAATGCCGCCCCGTTGCTAACATTGTGGTCGTTTGCTCCCTAACTGTGCACCTGATGGCTTTCTGGGATAATTTCTGTGTTCCTTACGAGTTTTGATTAAACAAAGCATTTCGCTAATCTTCCTGGCCTCTGCTTTGCTCCCATGGTGATTGTCCTTTAAGGGCAGTGCTGATGTTGAGCTCTTTGTAATTGTGACCACTGTATCTAAACCTCTAGATTGGAATATCCAGTTGGCCAACTCCAACTCCACTGTAAATATTAGGAATTGTAATGAATATGGGGACTGGGCTGCTTTTCTGTATTATACAAATGTCATTATGAATATTAAAGGAATTTAACCACAGTGTAGTCCAATGCCAAGCGTTTTAATAAGAAAATGGTCACAGGAATAGTGCAAAGCCCTCCTTCCAGTCTTCATCGCCAACCCATCCGTTGGTCACCTCCGGCCACACGTGCACTTTAGGATAGGCTTGTGCTCTTCACCACTCCAAGATCAGGCGTTGCATTTAGTTGGCAGGTATCGTTGGACCCCTTTAATCTGGAAGTGATCCTCAGCCTTTTCTTTGTCCTTTATGACATGTCCATTTTTGAGACTACGGGCCAGTTAGATTTTCCCTTGGTTTGAGGGTCTTGTTTTGTTAGGTTGTTCCATGTTTGTTGTTTGTTTTACCTGCAGCAGGCAGGGATACCACAGAGGAGATGTTGTACGGACAGCACTGCACCTCGGGACTACTTGTTTTGCCCCATTCTTGGTGATGGTAAGGAGTCCTTGGTCAGGATGGTGCTCCTGAGGTTCTCTACTATAAATTCACCATGTTCTTGGCAGCGAATAAGTAATTTTAGAAAAGAGACTGAGCTTATGTAAATTCCTATAAACTTTCACCTACAGTTTTTAGCATGATTCTTAGCAAATGCATTAGTACTGATAATTGTACATTTCTGATGTTCTAACTCCATCGTTTCTTCTACGTGTTTTGGTTGGCATTCTTCGGTAAGGAAGATCTCTTCCTTTCTTTCTTATTCATTTAAGTAGACATATGTATGTGTGTCTACTAGTACTTTTTACTAGTATGAACCCCTGAATTCTTCATTTGCTTACAAATATGACTATAATAATTTCAGTGTTCTGAATTGACACAATTTTGGCCAGTGAGAGCTCCCGCAAGACAATTACTGCAACTTAATGGCATCTCCCCATCATTTTTTGAGCACTCCGTCCTTAGTTATGGCACAAGAAGATGTTCTCCCTACCCCCATCTAAAAATCACCCATTGCTTTAAGAGGCGCCGACTTCTTCAAAAAGAGAACAACCCATAGGAATCAAGATGTAGACTCAGTATATCCGATGGCCCAGGTGGTATGATTTTCTGATTGTCAACTAACGAAGGGCTTATGCTTAACCCAATGATTCCCTGTAAGGCTAGCTGGAGTGCTGCTGCTTATTTTTAGTAGTTCCACACATCCAAAAATAAGTGTATAGACCAGCAATTTTCAATATAAATCCATGGCATTATTGATCATGGTGTATTAAGTACCAAGAAGTAGCCTCCAATGAAACACTCCACAGGCTACAGAGCAGAGGAAATGCACCTCAGATTTAAACGGGGATTTAGAGGACAACTTCTCTCCCTGAAGAATTAGGCGGCTGTGTTTGGAAAGTACTTTGATAGGTCCTAGCTGGTAGAGTCTGAATCAAGAAGATGTCTGAAACTCAAAACACTGCAGTAAGTGGTGCTTTGCATTCACTGTAACAAGCAGGGACTTCAGAAAGCCTGTAGGAAAAGTGGAATTAAGAGATAATGGAATTTCTCAAAAGCTTTTTGAAAACCCCCTCATCTACTTTATAACATACTGATTAATATAATAATTTATATTTATGTAGGAAACAGGCAAAGCAAATAAGATTACCAGTTATTCCATGATTGCCAAATATCTTAGAGAATCGATGTGGTTCAAACAGCTTACATACTCTGTTAGTCCTGCTAACAGAAAGGTGGGTGGTTTGAATCTACCTCAAGGCATCTCAGGAAACATGCCTGGTGACGGATTCTGAGAACTCGGCCGTTGAGAACGCCCCTGGGAAGCGCGTGGGTGAACTAGTTTTGTCACAAAAAGACAGCTCTCCCTGGTCTGACAGAACCCAGTCTCTAGAAAGCAAAGGTTATGAGTGGTTACTAGAGATGGTGAGATGGGAACACGGGAGGTTTTACCTATGGAGCCCTGAGGTTATGGTCAAGGAGGTAGAATGATTTGGAAAAAGAGAGAATGCTTGCGTAACTTGGGAAACATAAACAAGGTCGTTGAGTTGTACATATAGAAATTACTGAGCCGGCTCACCCCCACATACATACACACAAAGAAAACCCTATGGAGGATGATTCTACCGACACTCGGATTTGCCACGAGTGTGAAACTTTTTCACAGCAACTCGCAACTGGTAAATAGCTCCGCTCCATCTCTGAGGCTTTCCCTTTGTCCAGACATTGCTATGTACTGTTTGGCAACCCTCGTGCTAAGGCCCCACATCCGACAACCATCTGGCTATGCAGGCTCTTCGGGAGCAGAAATCACAGGCGCAATGAGCAGGAAGAGCTCCTGTCCACAACCAAACGTAAGGTAGAGAGGCCACTCTGACTTTCTCCATCCCTGGCGGATGCACCCAGGACACCCTAGTCTATGTGATCACGAGCCTCTGAAGAGCCTGGATTTGAGAAGAACCAGTTATTATCTGGGGAACCTGTTTTTTTTTAAGTTAGAGTCTCCAATATTTTTCTCTAGATTTTTTTTAATATTATGTTGTTGACAATACACATGGCAAAACATACATTAATTCAACTAAAAAAACACGGTAACTCAACACCTTTTATGTGTGTAATTCTGGGACATTCGTTATAGTCTTTGAATATACAGTCATTCTCACTCACATTTTCTGATCTGTTTTTCCCTGGTTAATAATAACCACTGTCCCCTAAAATTCGTATCTAATCTTTTGAGTTGCTATTGTCAATTTGATCCCACATAGAGTGCAGTGGATTAAGCACTGGGCTGTTCAAACCCATGCTCTGTAAGAGAAAGATACAGAAATCTGTGTCTGTAATGATTTACTGCTTCAGAAACCCTTTGGAACAATTCTCATCTCTCCTACAGGGTGACTATGAAAGAGAATAATGCTCAAGGCAGACCTCTTCCACCAGTGAAACTCAACTATTCTTTGGTTTTAAGAGGACTATGGAAATATTCTGGATTAATGTTTAAAGATTATCTCAGGTGAAGTCTAATATTTTAAATAAACACCAACAACAAACCCCTTTCCTATTGTATAGATGAGCAAACTGTACATCACTGCTAACCAAAACAGAACACAGCATACTTTATTTCCAGCACGTCACCTCTGACTCTAGGCTATAATCTTTACAGGACTTTCTCTGGGTTCCAAATGCCGGTGTTTTTGTTACCATATTAGCGCTTAGCCGCTGTGCCACCAGTGCACCACCTAATGGACAGCACCAACAGGGAAGGTTTCAGAGCCACTACTAAGAAGAAATGCAGTACCCTCGACTCCATCAGGAGACCACCTGGCTGGACAAGGCAGGCTCTACTGGCATGAAATACTGTATATACTCAAGTGTGAGCCAAGTTTTTCAAC